AAATGCGCTAAATGTGCTTTTACGCGTAAGCAAAAACAGCCTATAAGTAAAGAATTTGGTAAAGATAAGGGAAATGTAACAAACGCCTTCAGGCGAAATAATACTGTTTCTCTTGCACTATAACGATTCTGTAGAATGCAAATATATTAAAATGGTTTAAAAGTTTAACATTTCATTTTATATCTTGGGGTAGGCTTTCCATTACATCGGTTTTTTGGGTGTTTTCGCAAAGCTATTACGAATTTTGTCATAAAACTTAGCGGAGATGTAAAGAATAGTATATATTCACATTATTTATCACTCTTTCCACTTTATTAGTAATAGTATATAACTAACTTGGTGCTAAATTCTTTGCAGTTTCACTAGCAAATTTTCATATGAAAAGAGCACTTAACACATACTTTGATAAATATACGATCTTTGCAATGTTCACGTGTGTTTTGTATACATTAAATGTATTTTATTTTATCTTTTAACAATATAAAATGCGCTTAATAATTTCACTACTTTCCTTCAACAAAGTAACAAGCAAAATGGCTGTAAGGCCCTGTCTCCACAGGAAAACACTGATGTCGTGATAACCATGTCACAAAATATATTTCCAATGGAGACCGCCTATTTCTAATGGGCTGCAATATTTGTCAGCGCTTATTGCTTGACATCTATTGCAAGCAATTTGATAGTTTGACAGCCATATTTTCATTTGAAAGAAAGCGTGCTGGTGATAACATCGATGAAATTTCGATATTAAATCAAAATAAAACTCTGTTCCCTATTGGATTATTTATGATTACGTTTTAGGAAATTATTCAGCAAGTTTTTTAACGATTTAAATATTTTTAAAACCGAAGTTGAGAGTATGTTGTCTGGCGGCGTCATGCGGCAAATGCTTATTTCAAGACATCAAAGTGCCCACACACAAAAACATGCAATCATATTGCTCGTCAAAATGACAGTTGGTAGGCCATCGGTGTTTAGCTGAAATTAGTCAAGAACGTAAAGCTACCGGTACGTAAACCCGAGTAAGCAGACACGATCTGTCTTACCAAAGCGCCATGTAAATGAAAGCTCAACACTGCAGAATTTTTCTGTAGTTGCAGCCCGTAGCGCAGAAATCTGCGGAATTTAGATTTTTCCGTGTCAGCTGATTTCTCCTTCTTTAGATGGTTGCCACTTCGTCAGTTTTACAGATGGTAAAAAAGATATAAGTTTTTACTCAAAATATGTTTAAAATATTTGAAATTTACTATTGAATAGGGTTTTTGTTGAAAACTAAGTAGTTTATATTTAGCTAAAATCTATTATAGCACGAAAAATTGTAGTTGAAAGGGTAAGTTTATGAAAAGGCATTGATGAGTGGCAACAGTGTGGTAAGCAACACTGAGGGCTCCAGTAATCGACAAAATTCTGCGTATACAGACTGCGTTTAAGTATACGTTCTGCGTTCTCGACTAATTTCAGCTTTTGCCTGTGGAGTTCTGCGGTAATGGAGAATAGAAAGGTGCTACCAGATGTTCGAAAATTAAATAGGTACACGAAAAGTAAGGATATTCAACAAACTACTTCAGTTTCATAATGATCTAGATAACATTTGAGAACAAATGAATGTCCGCGGCGCTTTAAAGAAAGTAAAATCGCGCGATTTTTTATTAAAAATTTTCCCTGTGGCGCTTAAAAAAAATACTTCAATAAAAAATGAAATTTTTTTTCAAAAAATCTACGATTCGATAAAAATGCACATTTTTATTAAAATCAATAATTCGACTGCGACTCTTTTTTTATGTAAAACAGTTGAGGGATTCACAGCCATGTCGTAAGTGTCGTATTGTTGTAAGTCGTAAACTTTAAAAGCTTAAATAAATGTTAAGAGAACTTGAAACCACAACCAACTATTTTTTAACACTGCGAAAATACATAATATGACTTTGATGGTACTTTGCAAACCCTTTTAACATTTTTTTAGGCGTTTAAAGTTTACGACATACAACAATACGACACTTACGACACTGTTGTGAATACCCCAATTATTTCAATACAAAGTGAATATTTTCAATAAAAAACCACCGACTTTTTTACTATCCTCATCATCTGGCAGCACGGACAACTGTTCATTTCCAACACTTCCATATAATCAATTGTGGTGTTCACAGTTCGTTCCAAATTGTGTCTGAAAATGTAGACGTCTACATTTTGAGACATCTTTAGCATCAAACTGTGAGCACCCCTTTCTAGCAGTCGTCGCAAAATCGTCTCAAAACTTTGCTGGTGTTGCCAGACATTTCTTCTTTGCGTGCTTTTTTATATGTCGCCTTTCGATTTTGTTTCTGAAAAATTGTAATTATTTAACTTAATTGCC